GGAGGGATATGAGGGCAGCAGTGAGGATGAGGATGATCCCTGTTATTCCCCGACACGCGGACATGGTGATGACGACGACGACGAGGGCGGGGACGGTGGACGGGTTGTGGGTGGTTTGCGGAAGTCCAAGAGACAGCGTGGCGACCAATGYAGTGGTGCAGGCAGGGGAGGCAGCGGGCAGGGTGTTGGGGGTGCAGGGCGGACARGTGGTGCAGGGCGTGCTGGCACAGGAAAAGTTAGGCGAGAGTCTGCATTGTCCACTCGCACTGTGCATCGGGTTGATGAGGAGAGGCCCGCTGAGGCAGCTGTGGTCGCTCCCTCCCCTATGGAGGTTGCTCCCTCCCCTGCAGAGTTCGCTGCGGCGTCTGCAGAGGGCGCAGTGGCGTCTGCGGAGGGTCCAGGCGGGTTTGCGGGTGGTAGTGGCGATGCTGGAGAGGTTGGGAGGCCATCTACACAGGTGGGTGTCAGTTTCAGCGACAACATTTTTTATGTTTCGTAAGGGCATCCTCCGACACCATCAGGGGAGCGTGTCGGTGTCGATGTGGACGCAGCGACTACGCCCGTCAGTCAGATACTTCGTGACATACCTTCATGCAGCACGGGCGACATCAGTAGTAGCATGTTGCAGGAGGCAGCAGAGGGGGCACCGGGTCGGTCGGGGCAGCACGAGCGTGCAACTGGGGATGATGGGGAGTGTCGACCTATGCAGGGGCAGGCGACAGAGTCAGAGAAGGACAGGATCAACCGCGAGGAGAGGAGGAGGGCGCAGGGGTTGGCTAGCCGCTGCGAGATGACGCAGAGTGTTGCATTGAGGGCACGTGTAGCGCGGATGCTCGAGACGGGCGTTGAGGCAGGTGATGCAGAGGGCGAGTGAGGCGCTGCGGGCATAGGGGATGCGGGCGAGAGACCTGCGTCRCCWGTTCAGGSTGTTTRCGTATTGCCTCTCGGTGGGGCCATGTCGGCGGGGGAGTTGGAGCGGCAGGCACGGGAGGACCCGTTGCAGGCAGATCGCCGGGGGCGGATGACCGAGGCGTCGAGGACCCTGATGGCAGAGGCCTTGGCTTACGTGCCTTGCAGCCCGTCAGTGCCATCGTTCACCATGGGTGTCAGCACACCCGCATATGTGGAGGGCACAGTCGCGGCAGAGGCGGTACGGGGCCCTCGCCGACACCCGCCGGGGAGTCTCCTTCTCCTCAGTCACGGAAGAAGAAAATGAGAGCAGGAAAAAGTCTTGGTACCGTGAGGAGAGTGACGCAGGCGATGCGGGCGAGTCAGCCTGGGTTGGTCGGTTTACATCCATGGACACGGGCGATTTTGAGCGGGGACGTTGTCGCAGATGCAGCAGGATGGCAGGAGAGGGTCTCCGACCGAGCGACGGATCAGCCCATGAGCGCACCTGTTGAGGCGACGTTGCCACATAGTGCAAGGCGTATATCGGGCACCGGCGACCACACCGAACATAGTGCGCCCCCCGGGAGGAGCATGGCTGCACGTATATTGTAGGAGGACGTGAGGGCAGCGACAGCGCAGCGACCGTCACAGGCGCCAGTCGTTTGGGAGTCGGGCACAGACGATTTGGAGATGCCTTATGGCCAGCGGAGGAGGGTTTCCGTGTACAATCTTCTTCGACCACTTGGAGGGGTTGAGGCGGCGCCACAGGGGGAGATTCATGCTCCGGATACTACGCACGCGCCGGCAGGCGGCACAGGTCGTTGGGATGGTGTGACAGGTGTGGTGCCGCAAAGGAGGAGGAAGGACATTGTGGACAACGATGATGCATAGTTCCACCATTAGTCTTCTTTCATCCTCTGATTCGTAGTAGTGTATAGTATATTTAGTGCTTGAGACGAGGCCTTGTGTTAGTAGTAGTCTGTAGTGCTTGAGACGAGGCCTTGTGTTCGTAGGAGTGGTTAGACGAGGTCTGTGCAGGTCGTCATGACTGCATTTGTATTTGTATAGGTGGTTAGACTATTGTATACTATTTCCACGCACGGGTGCAGTTTGTTTTTGTTTCTTGTTTTATTTTATCATCGATGTTGTAGAGGATTGCACTTTTTTCAGTATTTCTCCAGACACGGGCTCAGCAGGTGCAGTGCTCACAGTTTCGTTTTTTGTTTTTCTTGTTATTTTTGTATCGATGTTTCTGACGATTCGACAGTTCTTTCGCACACCATTTGACTGAGTCCAGCGTGCATGTGTCTTTTATTGTTGTGTGTGTACGGCGCAACTGTTTCGCCGTGTCCTTTCGTTTGCCTGTAATGTTACACTTTAAAAACTTATGCAATGATTGTTTCTTGCAGACTTGCAGATGATGGAGAATGACTCAATGAGTGTGAAARATTGTGTTTATACTTTCAGTCTTGTACTCGTTTCGTCGTGTGTGTAGTTCACCTCTGTTGCATTTGTCAGCCACCCCGACAAAACCCTCCCCAAC